AAATGGATTTTGTTTTATATAGTGAACTTATCTTTCAATGAATCTATGTGGGTTTTTGTTCACCTTTGTAATGTGTGTGTATCAATGTCTCGAATTGAAAATGCAGGACATCGAAGGGAATGATGTGAGTTTGAGTCAGTTCACTGGGAAGGTGCTTCTTATTGTGAATGTAGCTTCCAAGTGGTATGTTCTTTCTTTACTTCTTGATTCCCGCTTCACGCCGACTATCTTTATCGAGGAATGATTATACCTCGAACTTGTATTATGGAGACGGATTCTTTTGCATCGTTTATAATTTGTGTTCAACATAGCAGACCCATCAAGGGATGCTTAACGCTACCATCTCATGTGATAATGATTCAATGATCTTACTGTGATGAATGTACAGTGGTCTAACACATGGAAACTACAAAGAGTTGAACATTTTGTATGCCAAGTACAAAGCTAAGGGTAGATCTCGTAGTCTCGCTTAGTCTTTCGTTGGCTAATAGTAGTAATAACTAATGAACATTTACAAGTATTAAGGGAAGCAATGTTTCATGCAGGATTTGAGATCTTGGCGTTTCCCTGCAACCAATTTGGCAGTCAAGAGCCAGGTACCGACGCGGAGATTAAGGAAACCGTTTGCACAACGTTTAAAGCAGAATTCCCCGTCTTTGGCAAGGTTTCGTGAACTTTTTAACTGGTTTCAATTTATATTGCAAGGTGCCATCTCTTTGTAGTTGTTACTTATTATTTTTCTCTGATGCTAGATTGAAGTGAATGGGAATAATGCTGCTCCCCTTTACAAGTTCTTAAAAGAACAAAAAGGCGGATTGTTCGGGGATTCTATCAAGTGGAATTTCGCAAAGTTTCTGGTAGACAAACAAGGAAATGTCGTGGATCGATACGCTCCAACTACATCACCTCTCGAAATCGAGGTTAGTACAAAGTTTCCCCTACGCATTGATATTTATTTCTCTAACCATTAAAGGATCTTACCGTCTAGTTTTCTCGTTCTTCTTTTCGCAGAAAGATATAGAAAAGCTACTGGCATCTGCTTGAACATAAAAAGCTTAAGGTGAGATTCTGTGCTACACCCCAATATCTCTATCAGATAATGTCATTTTCCTTATCCGGATTACAACAAGAAACTAATGTGTAGGTTTAAAAGTAATAGAGATTAGATAAAGTGATCTGTGTAATGTGAACATATATCTGTAGTTACAACTTGGAATGCAACTTTTGCCAAACTCTTAGGGTCTCTTAGGATCAGTTAGGTTGTAATAACTTCTCCAAGCTCATGGATGAAACATAGAAGCAACAGAATCTTGTGAACTAGATACACTTTTACTTTAATTAAGGCCAAGAAACAGAAATATTTTCTCTGGAAATGCTTATGAAGGCAACAAGGAATATAACGTGGACCGATTCGGTGCAGGACAGGAGAGCAGAAGCATCTCGAACATGCCCGAGAGCAAGAATGAGAGAACCACATTTCTATACTGATTCTTATCTAAAACCATCACTCAATGGAAAAGAAGAAAGCTTGTCTTAATTTTGTGAATTTGATTCTATCATTGCAAAATCTCATTTTCTTGTAAACCATGTGTTGTTGATCCAATCTTGATCAAATTCAAGACCCAGAAATGCTTATGAAACATATAAAAATTCCTTTTTTATTTATTTCCTCTTTATTACAAATCCATTACAACAATTCAATAACAAAATCTTCCTTGGTCATTAATCTTTTTATACATCCTACAACAATGGGTTTGTGTAGTTCTTCTTCTTCAAGCAGGTCAATCTCAAAAGCTGAACATAAACAGCATAAAGAGATTTCACTCCTGCAATAATGTTCTTCTTCATCTTCCTCCTCCCCCATTGATTCCTTCCTCAAATCCAAATCTTTCACTTCTCAACTGCATAATCTTACAGTGCAAGCAACAGCTTGAGCCCAGAATTTCAACCTAGCTTTAACATCATCAGGATTATCCCCTGTTTCCACACACATTTTCACAATCAGAAAATATGAAAACAGAACACACACAAAAAAATCAAAACTTTGAAACATGGGTTTACTTTACTTACCAGGACTAGAGATCTTCCAGCTAGCAATCGGACTAAGAGGAGATTCAACCCCCGGAGAAGTATTC